CCATGGTTCTTCAAGATCTCGGTCGTCGCATCAACACGGCCGTCACAAATCTCACCAGAGAGCCCAACCTCGACGAAAAGGTGCGCCGCATTCCTACCCCGCAGAACCATCCGTCGCCGTCGCCACACGATGCCGCCGTGAGATGCAACAGCAGCTGCTAACAAGATCTGTATCCGTGTCGCAGGCTTTCGATGGCATGCTAAAGGAGATTTGCTCAGCCCTTCTCGAAGCCGACGTCAACGTGCGCCTCGTCGGCCAATTGCGAAAATCGATCAAGAGTACCGTTAACTTTAAGGAGCTCCCGCCCGCCGTCAACAAGAAGCGCCTCATTCAAAAGTCCGTTTTCGATGAGCTTGTCAAGCTCGTCGATCCTCATGCCGAACCGTTCAAGCCTAAGAAGGGCAAGTCCAACATCATCATGTTTGTCGGTCTGCAGGGTGCCGGTAAAACGACAACATGTACCAAGCTCGCACGCCACTACCAGGCGAGAGGCTTCAAGGCCTGCCTGGTGTGCGCTGATACCTTCCGTGCTGGTGCTTTTGACCAGCTGAAGCAGAACGCGACCAAGGCGAAGATTCCATACTACGGTTCCCTGACAGAGACGGACCCGGCGGTGGTAGCAAGAGACGGTGTCGAAAAGTTCAAGAAGGAGAAGTTCGAGATCATCATCGTGGATACATCAGGTCGTCACAGGCAAGAGGAGGCTCTGTTCCAGGAGATGGTGGACATCCAGACGGCAATCCGACCCGACGAGACGATCATGGTGCTCGACGCATCTATCGGTCAGCAGGCCGAGTCGCAGGCCAAGGCGTTCAAGGAATCAGCAGACTTTGGAGCCATCATCATCACCAAGACGGACGGTCACGCAGCGGGTGGCGGTGCCATTTCCGCCGTCGCAGCAACACATACCCCTATCGTCTTTATCGGTACGGGTGAGCACATGCTCGACTTTGAGCGTTTTGCACCACAACAATTCGTACAGAAGCTGCTTGGCATGGGCGACATGGCCGGACTGGTGGAGCACGTGCAAAGTTTGAAGCTCGACCAGAAGGACACGATAAAACACATCACGGAAGGTATCTTTACGGTACGCGACCTGCGGGACCAGCTATCCAATATTATGAAGATGGGACCATTATCTAAGATGGCGGGCATGATTCCCGGCATGAGCGGTATGATGCAGGGCATGGACGACGAGGAGGGCAGCGCCAAGCTGAAGCGCATGATCTACATTTGCGACTCGATGACGGAGAAGGAGCTTGATTCGGACGGCAAGATGTTCATCGAGCAACCGACGCGGATGACGAGAATCGCTCACGGGTCGGGAACCTCGGTGCGCGAAGTGGAGGACCTGCTGACGCAGCAGCGGATGATGGCGGGCATGGCCAAGAAGATGGGCGGCAACATGAAGAACATGCAGCGCGCGCAGCAGGCCATGGGCGGCGGCAACAAGGCACAGCAGATGGCGGCCATGCAGAAGCGCTTGCAGAGCATGGGCGGCGCCGGAGGTATGGGCGGGGGCGGGATGCCGGACATGGGCAGCCTCATGAAGATGCTCGGCGGCGGAGGCGGCGGTGGCATGCCCGATATGCAGGCCATGATGCAGCAGATGGGTATGGGTGGTATGGGTGGTATGGGTGGTATGCCGGGCATGGGCGGCGGAATGCCTGGTGCCGGCCGGGGCCGCGGCGGACGTCGTTGATGTAATCTTGTGGGGAGGAGAGATGATGATGTCTAAACCAAAGAAAAAAAAGAGTAATCCGTACCAAAAAGATGCTTCGTCAATGATGACAAGCAACTGCGAGTGGGGAGGCATGGATGAAGGCATGATGGATTTATTGGAGTCGCCTGGGGCGGGATCACATTCGGAACCCTCTTATTCATAGGCTTGGCGTTTTGGGAGGAGAAGCACGAAGAGGGTGGAAATACAACAAGACTTTCCAATCTTTTGCCATGTTGATCCAAACCTGCTGCCATAGTGAAATTCAGCGGCTTCCCTTGATTGACGTGATGGTTGCATCTCTGGCTGGTAGGCCTGCCCGCCTTGCTCTCCAGTAGCAGGTGACGAGCGAAAATCACCTTTGGGAAGAAGGATGTGAAGATCTTACGAAGCCGCGCAATGTATTGCTTCACAGTGGAGCCCGCAAGCGTCTCGAGAGATACTTGGCTCAACCAACCACCAACGCACCAGCAATCACCGATGCGCTCCCTGATACTGCTGTGACGGAGAATTTAGACCGGTGGATTCTGTCAATTGATCAACGTGCGTTTGGGTCCATCACCCGCGGCCAGCATAGCGTACCAACGTCACAGTGAACCGGCCGCGTTTGAATTTGTGGCGGTGTGGCGGTGCCGCATTAGCCAGGCGAGCCATGGCAAGACTTTTCGCTTTTCAATCGAGATTTGTGGCGCGTGCGGTAGCAAGTAGTGTACGCAGTAGTAGCAAAACGGGAATAATGGGCAGAGAAAACGACAAGCAATTAAGGTATGATGAGGGAGGATGTGATTGGCAAAGTCGGATCTCGTGTGCCGTGACATGGAGGAGGGTGCCTTAATTGGGGGCGGGATGACGTCGATTTGCTCCGCTGTCACGATTTTTGACGTGAGGAATTTCTGTCCATGTATCAGTTGTGCGTTTCCGAGCTTGCTCATTACCTTCTTTGCTATTTGGCGAACTTGACTTTCTGAGTTCAATATCGTACAATGTACAATGTAGAGCCCATCAACCATGGGTAGGGAAATTTACTCCTACAGCGAATCTCAGCCCCAGCCGAACTGAAACAAGCCATGATTATCTTTCGGAAATTAGAATGCAACGAAGTCTAAACGAAAGCGCTGTAGTTGTCTAGAACGTTGTCCGATTGCATCTCTCCAGATATTGACCAAATTGATCAATCTCAGTGAAAGCAAGGACAACCAATGGCTTAGGTAACTTGGTACGTGCTATCGAGAATTGCTTTTTTGTGTAGTTGCCCAGGTTTCAATGGCTGAAAATGTCTAAAATCATGAATGCATGAAGCTGGTTTAAGCTACCGGAGCTGGAGCTAACCTGTGACCGGTTCACCCCTTTCGAGATTGATGAAACAGCAACCAATAGTGTGAGCCTCAAGGTTCACATTTGCCAATGCAAAGTGCGGAAAAAAGCGAAATCAGTAAGAAGAATCTCTGCCGTGTCCATTCGGAGAAGAATGTGTTCAGGTCATCAAAGTTCCCCTGTCGGTGGTGCAACATCAAAGTGGTAGTTTTGTGGCACGAGGGCGCTAACAACACAGGCCATCGTCGATACAAACGTCCCGGACCTTTTGGTCCCCCTCGAGAGCGACCCCTGGAATGCCCGTGTACCACGACGCCTTACGGACGACCCTCCCCCAGTCCGGTCACCAGGGATTAGAACCAAATTTTGAGGACCTACGTGAGTACGTGAGGTCCTGGCTCTGAGGTTTTCATCTGACAAACGATTAAGCCTCTACGAGAATCGTCACAGCGGAGCCGGGGATGACATATCTGTTTTGGACAGTGGATACATGTATGTCTCGATAGGCCCGCCGAGCCAACAGACCAAAAGGATGCCTGTAAGGCCTGATACGGAGGTTGCAGGACATGCTGAAGGGATCGGCGACGCTTTTGCGGAAGATGTCTCTGGACGTTTGGCGCCCCTTTACCCTGTCAAGCCCAATGCAGTCAGCCGTACTTGGTCTATAGGGGTAAGTTTAAACTCCCTACCAGGTAGCGTGGGTCTGGCCAGGGTAGAGCAGTGACTCTCAATGGCCAAATTTGTGTTCGACGTGCACAAGAATCTCGAAAGTAATGCTGCTGATGTAATCTCGAAAAGCACGGGCGAAGATACCTGACAAGGGGGTTAAACTTTGGCCTGATACCGTAGTAGTTCAGGTGCAGACAGACGTCCTTGGAAATAGGTTGCCCTATGGCCACTCGTAGACTTTTGTCTGAGTACATGTACATCTTGATGGCTATGCTATGCTATGCTATGCTCTCCACTGTGAATCAGACGTAAGACAGGAAGAAAAACAGATACGGAGTACCTACTATTACGCCTCATCTCGTATGGCGTGGCTTGACGCCTTTGCCCTTTGGCAGAGAGTAGCGCATCATCACCGTCCTATGGAAGTCCAGACCTTTTCCAATCTTATGTCGTCCGGGATTCTGATTGGAGAAGTCGGATCTGAGGTGCCGGTGGACAGGGATTGAGAAGCTCGCTCACTCTGTGGAGTGCGGGAACAGACCCGGTCGTTGCCAAGGATGTGTAGATGTGCCCACCGCCCACGCGTCCGAGGCGGCATGACGTCGTTGGTGTTTTTTTTTTTTTTCTATACGCAGCACGTTACTTTCGCTGAGTACCTGGCGCGTGGCTTGACTTTTTTTTTTGCTCTCTCTTTTCGTATCATTTCTGCTAGCATTTCGTATGGATACGGTACGGATACATACATTCAGCGTCCAAAATGTCTAAGACAATCAAGTCACTTTTTTGGGCCAGTTTAGTCACTAGCCACAATCCGGGGTTTTAGTGCGTAACAGGAACGGCCCTGGCTTGAAATGTCCCCCCTCCCAAAAGGTCCCGGAGCTGTAAGTGAACCAATGTCCGTCGTGCTACAGTCCAAAAGGTACACACAGAGAACACCCCATGTCTTGGGGTCTCGACTGATTCTGTGGTTCAAGAAGTGAGGTACCGTAACAAACGCCCCAGCGCCCTACCTACCTCCCCTAGCAAAAGCCTGAAATGAAGCCGCGGCTGGAATGACATATGGCTGCGTATGGCTCCGTCGTGCGTCGTGCGCCGTGCGTCGCGCCTGCCCTCGATCCCACATCCCACATCTCCCCCAACAGTGTGCGCCTTCCCAAGTTTTTCGTCCCATTTTGGGATTAAACAAACATGACGTCAAGCCAAACTCGCGAGGTACCAAGGTACCTAACCACGAACACTCAGAGGAAGGAAGACACCAGCGGTAGTCACCTCAACATCGTTCTTGCCTGCCACAGACTGTAGACCCCGGACCTTATCCCTTAAGCTTAAAGTCGACCTCCCTCCCCTTCCTCTGCCCTCTCTTCTCCCTTCATCCCTCACAGTCAAGCCACCCTCTCCCATCCATCACAGCTCGCCAAGACACTTCTTGCAGCTCCCGGCGAGGCACAAGCAGTCAAGCACAGCCATCCCGTCTTGGCATCCTCTTCACCAAAGCTTGGCAAGACCTCTAATACGACACTGCACAACACCCAAAAATAACGACACCAACATCATCAAAAAAAACATCATGGGCATCTTTGGAAAACGTCGCGAGGCGGCACCCGCTGGCGCTGCTGCTACCGGCCATGCCAACGGTCACCATAACGGCGTCTCTAGCAAGCGTCGTGGCGCTGAGCCTTACTCCATGTCTACCCGTCCCAGCTTCGGGCAATGGCTCAAGGGCACCCTCATCGACATTATCACCATGATCTGCATGGGCGCCATCGGTCTCGGAGTAAGTTACATGACGTCTCAACATCGCATTTCCAAGCATCGCTAACAATGTTCAGATTTACATGGCACCTCCCGCCCCGAACCGTTCCTTCGCCGTCACATTCGCCGATGGTGAAGTCGTCTACCCCCAATTCGCTTACCCCATGCGCAACGAAGTCGTCCCCATTTGGCTTGCTGCCTTCCTGGCCTCCGTCATCCCCATCTGCATCATCCTTCTCATGCAAATCCGCATCCGCTCCTTCTGGGATGTCAACAACGCCGTCATCGGCCTCCTCTACTCCCTCATCTGCGCCGCCGTCTTCCAGGTCTTCATCAAGTTCCTGATCGGCGGTCTGCGCCCTCACTTCCTTGAGGCTTGCCAGCCCGACCTGTCCCGTGTCACTAGCAGCCAGGGTGGCATCGCCCGTACTGGCTACAGCGCCGCTGGATTCCAGAGCTTGTACGTCACCAAGGAGGTTTGCACCGGTGACATGAAGGAGATCAACGATTCTCTTGAGAGTTTCCCCAGTGGACACACCACTGCTGCCTTCGCCGGCTTCGGATACCTCTACTTGTACCTTAACGCCAAGTTCAAGGTCTTCTCCGACTACCACCCTGCCATGTGGAAGCTGATCATCACCTACATCCCCATCCTCGGTGCCGTCCTCATCGGTGGCGCCCTCACAATTGACGAGTTCCACAACTGGTACGACATCTTCGCCGGTGCCGCCATCGGTATCACTTTCGCCTTCTCCTCCTACCGCATGACCTACGCTGCCATTTGGGACTTCCGATTCAACCATATCCCCCTGAACCGCGGCCAGGCCCTCAACTATGGTGCCGAGGCTGAGTTGTACGATGCTGTCTTCACTCGCAAGGCCGGCTGGGGCAAGCGTGGCGGCGGTGGTATCCTGCACCGCGAGAAGCACCACGGCCACGGCCACAGTGCTTCCACTGGCGCCGGTGTGAACGACTATGGCGAGCCCGTTGGATCCCGCAAGCCCGTCGGCTCTGGGTCTCGCCACCCCGATGCGATGGTTTAATCCCATCTTGAGTAATGCATGCCTAGATGGCAAATGTTTTTGACACCATGAAATACAGAATCGGAGACTACCATCTCCGCAGAAGTTCAGCTGGAGTCTTGGAGTCTGAGAATTATGATTAACGGCCTCGCTGAAGAAATTACAATACCCTACAGCACAAGCTTATACATTAGTCTTTATCCGGTGTTTACACGTAATGGAAGTTTTAATGCTTGATCTACATTCTTTTTCGCTTGGTGCAACCATAGTACTTGGTGACCTTGTGTTGTCAAGTGAATAAATATCTTGCGAACAATATTCTCCTGTGATCACATCCGTCTGTGGATGTACTTGGACAAGTCTTCACCCATCGAGTCAAGCCACTTGCTTCACGGTAACGTTACCATTTAGTAAGGTTCATACATCCGTCATCTTTGGATGATCATTCAGCTGCTGTTCACCTTTTTCTTGACAGAACGTTGCACGTTGGCAGGTAGCTGTACCGTGCCACATTGATCAGAATCACATAAGAGCCCGCGCGGTTATTCAACACTCCGTGAATCCTACAGCCTCGTCCGAGACACCACTACGACCTCAAAATGCCTACTAATATCTTGAGTCTTTGCATGCGGTGTTACACGAGGGGTCGTCTGAGACGGTCAGCTTGCATAGATTCCTCGTACGTTCGGCTCCTATCAGCCGCAGTGTACCCAGCATGTGTCCTTGCTGTATTAGCTTGTGACGTACGCATCCTGGCCAGAACAAGAAGGGGAAGTATTCACGGCAGGACGCTTCGAATTTCGCTTCAGGCTTGACATGCGGATCGATGGCACATGGTCGGGTCTAAAGATCCTGCGTGAGGGATATGCTGTTGGCGTTTGCGTCGAAGGGTCGGGTCTTGGGGGCATAAAGACCGGGAGACTTCCGCACAAATGCGAAGGTCGATGCCCCCGAAACTCTTCTGATAATTACAAACAGTCAATTACGCTCAAAACAATATCGCTCAAAGTGAAAGCTTATATATCAAGCCAACTATCTCACCACCAGAATCCCTCAAACCAAACACATATTCAACTCCAAAATCTCAAACACCAACATACCCTCGCTTCGCCAACATGACGAAAGGATGCCCGGGATGCAACCGCCAGATCAAAGACTACCAGACCTATTGCGTCTACGGATGCAGCCAGGTCGCCTACTATGAGAACAAACGTCGGCGGGAGCGCGAACGCCAGCGCCAGATGGAAAGGATGCGGGAGAGGGAACGGAGTAGGGTGCCGCCTGTGTTTGTTTACTTCGGTTCCGGCGGTGGTGGAGGAGGAGGAGGTGGGTATAATCGGGGGCACGGGTATGGTTATGGGCATCATGGACATCATGGATCTCGCCATTATTATTAGGACCTGATTGTCAATTTCGCAAAATGGTGGAGATCCTGGTTTGAGAACGAAACGAACCTGCCGTTTGACATGTTAACATTGAAAGATTCTCAATTTGATCTTCCTCGCGCTCGCCCAAAGGGCAATCGATAGAAACACGTAATCTAATTGTCTTGAAAGCTGAACCAACTTTGCCCTTATGTTCGTGTCAAATCGGCAACATTATCTGTCTTAGATACGTACTCGCATCATTTGAATCTCAAAGTGTTTACATGTAGAGAGCGTATGTAAAATGTCAGAATTCGCCAAGGCCTTCAATCACACGTGGTCCTTTTTCTACTTCAATGGTATCCTGTCGTATTTTGTGACGTGTCGAGAGTAAGCAGCCTCTATAACGTAGTCCCGACACCTCCTTCTCGATGCCACGCCTCATAGGCTGATTACAAAAGGACACCGCATCCAGTCCTCTGCGGATCCTCCACCACTTTAACTACCCCTCTCTAGTGACTTTGTGGCAATCGCACCGCCAGAGCCTACCGTAGGCAGCAACACCCACCCACCTACCCTATCGTCTAGCCTTGTCTTGCCATGTGAGCTCAGAGCCGTCAGAACATGAAAATCCCGGGCATCGGATATATCATTCATACCCGAACCTCTTTTTTTTTTTTTACAGCGCCCGACATGAATGAGTCTAGAGGTTCGGGTGCACGTAATACCCGAGAGATGAACGTCGATCCCTCCTTGGCCTCACGCCATCTTATCAGTGGTGAAGCAGACTGACTATCAATGAATAGTGCATAGCCTGATTGCAAGGTCAGGCTGGGAGGCCGCGTGTGCACTTGAAGTTGTACCTGGACCTGTGTAGTGGTCGGTACATTTGTCTCTGTGCTCCTATGTCATAAATACCAGGAATCATGTGGATGAAGAAAATGTAATTAATCGTATCCAGCTTGAAGTTGAGGGTATATAATCCACAACAAGTCCCGTCCAAGTCGTCAAACTAAACTTGCCTCCTCTCCTCAAAAAGTCAAATTCCCATCTTCAAGCCCAGATCAACGAGCTCGACTTGAACTTGCCAAAAGTCTTGCTTACTCCCTTACTGAAATCCAAAATTCAACCTTTCAATCCTGCCTACAACACCAAACCGCAACCATGACGAAAGGCTGCCCCGGTTGCAACCGCGAGATCAAGGACTCTCAGACCTACTGCGTCTATGGATGCAGCCAAGATGCCTACCATGAACAGCGAGAAGCTGACCGCGAAGCCGAGCGTGAAAGAGAACGCGAGCAGGAGCGGCAAAGGTCGCAACCGCTTGTTGTTGTCAATGTGAGCGGCGGGGGAAGTCAGCAGAGCAGTGAGACTAGCCGGGATAGTGAGGCCAGTCGTCGTTACTACTAAGGCCTCAACTGAAATTGCAGTGTGGCGACAGATGTTCGAGTTATTCTGGAAGGGGTTATGTCTGCAGATAGAGTGTTAGGTCAGAAGATTAACATGTTTCTACCGAGTCAACTCTCTAGTATTGCTTGGACTTTTGGAATCGATTCAGATCGGAACGCAAAGGGCTCCATGCTTTGCTTGAGAATAATCTTACTTCTACATGCGTCATCTGTATTTCCAGTATCATGCATCTGATCTGCCTATCGTTGCGTAATTCCAATACACTTTTTTGTCTTGTCCGCAAGGTCTAAAGACGCCAGCCATGCTTTGAAACTTCCTTATATGTGCCCCTTAAGGTGGCTGAACCGTGCAGGTTGTGATAGACTGGATGAGTCTAGTCCCGCTTCACACCAATAACACCTATCCGGCGCATTCCAAACACACAAACGAGACAGACAAACATCATCCAGCCAAACATGGCCCAGAAGGCAACCCTGTAACCTACCATGAGGGCATCAGGTGACGACTTATCAGCGTACGAAGAGGCATTAGTCGCAGACGAGGCAATGACCTGCGCCACGCTGAGTCCGAGGGCTGTGCCGAGCTGAGCGCACGTGTTGAAGACGGCGCCGCTGAGGGCCTGCATGCGTTTGGGGAAAACGTCGGAGACAATGAGGAGGCCGACTGTGAAGAGAATGTCGCAGCTGATGGGGGTGAGGATCTACATGGGGATATCTTAGTTGCCGAAAAGTAGACTGAACGGATGAAAGTCGTAGGTTATGGGTGTTGCCTGAAAATAGTCTAGGTTACGGGCGTTCTCTTTGCTTACCTGTGCGAAGAAGGCGTTCTCCCAATACAGTTGGTTAGTGCGAATGAGGGCCATGAGAAGCGGCGCAACTGTGCTCATTGCCGATGAGATCAATAGCATCCATAAGACGGGCATGCGGTGGACGAAGATACCGGTTGCGATGCTTGTAAGTGCACCAGCGGCGAGAGATGGAACGACCTGGACTGATGCCACCGTTGCTGACAAGCCCTGGACCTGCTGGAAGCTGGTTTACGTTACTCAAGAAGTCCGCCAAACAGTGCCATTATGACTTACAACAAACTGCTGTAAAGCTCCATACAGTTGGTGAGAGCGTTGGTAAGAAGTACCATGACGCAACAACTGGTGAACACATAGCTGCCCCAAAGCGAGTTGGGAATCAAAGCTGTCTTATTGTTCTTTACCCGATGATGCATCCACCCGACAAATAAAGGAATAGAGCAGCCGGCTATTGCCAGAAGCGCAATGCTAGATGGCTTACGGATATTGTTGATGTCGGCTGACAATGATCTGTGCCAGGTTAACCATTTCGTTCACTGAGCTGTGCATAGACCAGGTACTTACGCCAACACATATGACAAGGTCGCTAGGCCGGTACTGACCAGGACTACTCCCACGGTATCAATATCCTTGGCAAGTCGCTTCCAGATAGATTGGTCATTTCTTGTCTGAAGGTCGCGCGGCAATGCCCAGATGGCAACCAAGAACAAAGCCGCACTTGCAGCCGCAGCCAGGTAGAAAGCCGGTCGCCATCCAACATTATCAGTAAACACACCACCCAGAACCAGCCCAAACAAGAACCCCAGTGGCTGGGAAAAGCCCATGCATGCGAATCCCATATTGCGCGGCCGCCCCTCCTCCATGTTGGTCGAGATGATGGAGATGGACGAAGGCGTAATGACAGCATATGCCACACCCTGAAGAGCCCGAAACGCAATGATCTGGCCACCCGTCTGCGCCAGACCGCACGCCATGGCGAATATGGCGCTGAAGAACGAGCCCGTCAGGTTCACCCGCTTGTTCCCGACGACGTCGGCGACGGAGCCGGCGAGCAGGAGACACGATCCGGCCGTGAGGAAGTAACTGGAGCTAGGCCAGACGAGGAGACCTTCGTCCAGGCCTATGTTGTGCTGCATGGCGGGTAGGGCGACGACGATGATGCCGTTGCAGAAGCTGCTGAAGAAGAGCTGACCGCAGACTTGGGCGATGACGATGCCGGCTCGGGTTTTGGAGAGCAGGAAGGGGGCGTTCGTTGCTGCTTCCTCTTCTGAGTCGGTGGTCATTAGCCCGCCGGGGGCTTGTTGGAAGTCTGGTGGCGCGTCATGGCTTTTTCGCAGTAAGGTGACTGGTGTTGACGGAGCAGGCTCGAATGTCTGCAACTCCGTTGCGGTTTGCGTTGCCATGTTTGCTGTAGAGGTCGATGTTGATTGGTAGTTAAAGTTCAATACCTCTACAACACCTCAGTTGTGTGAACGAGCCAAAGTTGAGCAGACTCGACGGAATTTGGATGAGAGCAAAGTACATGTACAAAGTCTCAAAGACGCCGAGTGAGTCAAGAGCCCTGGCGAGCCTGCTACCGAAGTTCTTTTGCTGATAAGTCAAGTGAGACGCCGCCCCTTAAGGGTTAGCACCGACAAGTCAAAGGGCGCAAACAAGACCGGGGACCGTCGTCTAATTGGCTCAGAGGTCCACATACGTAATCAGGCGGGATTAATCGCGGAAAAGAGCATTTGATAAAGCTTTGTATGATTGAATCAATTTCTTTTACACCACCTTTTTTGCAATGTCAACAGGTGTTGTGATAAGTCCGAGATTCGGATTGTTCACAACTATGTCTCTTCATGTGAGTTATGCTATACAACGATTTCAAGATCGACTAGGACTAGAGCTTTGATCTCTTAGTGTTTTACTAAACATATTGCTCGCCGTCTACGAAGCTCGATCCACGCCCGAGTCTCGTCTACTACTTTCGTCGACCTGATATCCAGCACCAATATATCATAATCCTTTGTATCACATACATGTTTGAGGTGGCCCGAGAGAATTCCGACTTCCCATCAACTCTAACGGGAACCAATTAATCATCTCCCTCCTTCATAAATCCTGATGAAGCCTCCATCGAATCGTAAGAGTAGTCGAATTTCCAATCCGATGAACATGTCTCCAAGAAGAAATCGACGCAGCAGGAATAGTTGCAAGTCCCGCGCAGTCAATAGGGTCACATTTCAACTTACATGTCCTCTTCTCACTTTAGTGAAACCATTAACTCTTACTCTTCTACCGGTACCGGCCTCCGTAGCCACGGACAGATTCTGCCACATCAACTACGCTGACTTTGTGTTTCGGTCGAATTGCCTTCAAACAATTCTTCGATGACCGCGTCGAGGCTTGCGCTAGCCCTTCTGGCACGATCGACGGCATTCCTGAGCTGGACATCCAGCGCAACAACATCCCCGATTGGGTGCTGGCACCGTCCTCAATTATCGTAGCCGGCGTTAGCATGTTCCTTTACTTGTTAGACCAATGGGCGAGTCAAGTGAGAATGGGGGTTCTGTATCGACTATCAAGAACCAGAAGTATTTGGTTGGCAAAGAATCTTCAATGTTGCTGGTGTAAATGTGATCGAGGCAGCATACGCCAAAATAAGAGAACACCTAAATATAATTACAATGAGGCTTAGGTATCAGGTTCAGCATACGCTGCAACACAGACAACATGGAAGTAGACATAGGATCAAAGAGGAGAAGGTCTACAAATACAAAGCTACTAAAACATACCATGATCATCACCCTCACAACTTCTCGTTAGAGTTAGCCATCTCAACCGCCTTCTCAAAATCCTTCAGAAATACCCACTTCCCACCCTCCTTCCACCCCTTCGCCCTCCACTCACTCCCATCCGCCGGGAAAACCTCCACAACGCCAACCAAACTACTATCATGCGACGCCACAACAAACACATCCGGACTCGCATCAAACCTCTGAATAGCACGCACCGTCTCCCTCGAAGCCTCCAAATCCATAAATATCCCACCCTCAGGCAGCGCATGGAACGGGACCCCATTCGCGTCGCTCCCCGCCTCCCCTAGGACCTTGCTGTAGGGCCCCAGGGCGGCAGAGTTACCAGCCACGGGGTGGACTGCGTGAAACGCCCGTCCGGAACAGCAACTGTGGCCCGGCAGCTGGATTTCCTCTGGTAGCGTCGCGCCGCCGTGCGGTCTCAGAACGGAGCTGTGGTGGAAGGAGTCACCTGCAAAGTACATGAAGCTATCCTCCGTCGTACGAGCCAAGGCGTTGACGTGTCCGATGGCGTGGCCCGGCGCGGAGAGGAGGTAGAAACTCCCGTCGTTGAAGTAATCCAGCGCCTTGAGTCCACCGATTTCAATCTTGGTGGAAGTGAAGTCTAGTTCACGCACTTCGCGGCCCTCGAACTCGCGAGCGAGGACGGGTGCGTCTGGGATGGTCGGGTAGCCAGGGAAATACGCCTCCTTCACCCCTGGGCCGACGATCAGCGATGCCGTGGAGGGGAAGAGTGACGGGCGGCCAATGTGATCCGGGTGTGCGTGACTATGGGCAATATCAGCCATCACATTCTCAAGTTTCTTTTGTCGCGCACAAAAAAGCAAACATGGCTTACGTACCTCCAGAAGAGCGCCTCAATCTCCCTCAAGTCAAGACCGCCCTCGGTCAAAATTTCGGAAACGTATTTTTGGGCAACCATCGTGCCATCCAAGTTCTTCCCCATCTCCAATACAGCTGGAGAGAAGTCATTGTCCCAGTCTTTCGGCAGACCGAGATCGAACACTACGCGTCTAATCTTTCCAGCAGAGTCCTGGTGCGTCACTAGAAATGCGTAGCCTACGCCGTACCACCTCTCGAAGCCGTTCATGGTAGGGCCCATGAAGGGTGCCGTGGGAAGATCGCCATTGAGGGTTGTGTCGATGATGGAAACAGAGACCGTCGACTTTGAAGGAGGGATATTCAAGACAGAAGTTGCAGACATGGTTGCGGATAGTTGTTGTTAGTTCAAAGACTCAAGCAGGTAGGTGTGATAAAAACAACATCGTACTGGGCATATGGAACTTTTATATGAGTCTCACCAATCTCACCTCAAAGGTTCAGGCCCAAGCAAGCCAAGAAGCGCGGACGCGCGCCATAGCGGTCGTATTGCTCTTTGTCAGCCCTAGTCAGGCATAGCTTGCTCCCCGGGCCGAACGACATGCAGTCAACAGCAAGTGCCGGCGATGATTAATCCGAACTAGGCGGACGAACTCGGACCATAGCACAGCTACATGAACCATAGCCACGGAAACATGCGGGCTGACCAAGACGGCGGATCCGCGGATCATCCGCGGCTTAACAAGGCATCCGCAATTCAAGCCCCAAAAGGGTCATCCGTATCCGTGGCGTCGATCCCGTCAATCGGATTCGAGAAAGGCAAATGACGCCAAACGTCCGTGGAAACAATCGGAGATCCCCCATGACTGCCCGGGCCAATT